GGTGTCGACTGAATCGTAAGATGCGAATAGTACGTATAATATACTTATCGTATTGCTTTACACGTACAATATTTTATTAGGTCTGAACGAAGGTCCTTATATTAATGATGTTATATCGCGTAGTTATAATCCTAGATTCGATTGTTACAACAATTTGGTGGGTATATGGCATGATAAACCCTTAAATAATAACATTTGTCGGATGTTCGCACGAAAAACCACAAATATTTTAGTTAAAATTATGATAAATTAAAAGTTTCCACGGCGTTGCATCATTTCCATTTGAGATTTTACGCATTGTACTCAGTCAAAATCTGATAATAAACAACGATACATTTGTGACTTTTGAAAATATATAATTTTTCTTACGATGAGGTGAGTATATACCGTATATATTTTCCGTACTTTGTATCCTGCGGCGGCAATGGCGACAGTAAATTATGTGCGCGTCAAAAATAAATACTTGTTCCATTACAATCGTTCGAATCGTTTATTAACACGCACGATAAATGGAAAGGCACGTTTTATGCATTAATCGACTAATTTATATATATATATATATATTGTCAAGGATGCGAGGTTCGGTGAATGGTCCCCCTGGATTTCCTTCGCGATCATAACCGTAATTAAATTATATTATTTACGGGGCTTATGAAGTCGACCCCTATCGGTAAACAATCACGTTTTTTGAACACCACAAATTCAGCATAAACACATTATTACGTATGATAACGTAATTATATTCTCTGTAGGATTTTGATTCATATATTTGTAGTACTATACATCACCTCAACTGTTTTCATTTCCGGCCGTGAATCTTCGTGTATGTACAATAAAGTTATGTGTTTCATTGAAATTCAAAGAATAAAAAATATTTTTTATCACAACATTACAGAATTCGATTTAATAAAAATAAAGGGGACAAATCAATAATGAAATATTTAGAGAGAAATTTGAACAGTTATCATTCAGAATAACAAAAAAAAAAAAAACTTTCAAAATATGTTTATATTACTTTAATACAAATATAAAGTTGAAAACGTATAATTTATAATTGACACATGTAAAGGAATACATTTAGAGAAAGGAATAAAAAATATCAAAATATATAGAATAGTGAATTGGAGTGAGAAATGCTTTAAAATCACGAGATTAATTAAAAACAATAATCAAACAGAATAAACTATAACATTGTTGAATTATTATAACAATTGGAATTATACCACTCTTGTTATGTTTTATTTTTTAAATTTCTCTCCCCCCCCCACAATCTGACGGGACACGCGCACAATTCGAATCGCGTTTATGCATAATCATCAAGTGCACATGCGGTAAAAAAAATAATGATTTTCGTCCAAAACGTATAATCTCGTCCAGCCGCGTTCGTAATGCACGAACGGCAATAAAATCGCGTGCTGGTCGCGTATGTTTATTTGGGTCATCGACTCGGGCGAGCAGCGGCGTCATGTCACCCTCGTCTTCGCGACACAACAGCAGCTTGCGGAGGACGACGTCCTCCATTCGTACAGCTGGCACGCGGCCGCTCCACCACCGTCTTCATCCGTTTTCTTCCGAACAATTAGCTACCGTTGATATACATAAGATTTTTTAAAAAAAAAAAAAAGTTAAACCAGCTTAAGTTTGCGCTAAAGTTTTCTGAGACGGAATCTGGATGGAAATACGTGTTCCGTTATCGAAAAGTTTACCTACAAATCATCTGGTGTGAACGGTAATCGCAAACAAAACAACCGTAATGAGATATTTCGATCTGTGATGGCTGATATGACTTTTTACCACATTGATGTTTCAGATAAAACTGACGGGCACGTGTTCGTCGGTTTAAACGAAATAGTTTTACCGGCGACTTTTGCGAAATGTGCAAACATTACGATCAACAAATTTGATATTCTTTCAACCGTTTAGACACCACGGTGCCGTGAGCCCGTTCGCAAGACGGCTTTTGACAAACTGAATTTTTGCCTGAGACGTAGTTATCATCCATATACTCTAATCGGTTTTGGATAGATTTCATTGACGGTATGTCGAAGGTGATACCGTCAACAATTTTTCAATTATCAACTGTTATAAAAATAATAATAATAATAATAACACCATCGCAGCTCCGAAGATGTTAATCGCTATCGGCAAATAAGCCACGCCATCGCACGTGATCCCCGCGTCACCTCTTCCTACTCCTACACTTCTTCACCGCTTGAGAAACCCGTTCACCGTGTCTTTCTCGCACACAGTCGCCACTGACGCCACCGCGTCGTCTCGTTGGCATTTGTACAGGCCGGCAGACCGGACGCCGAGATGAGCGACCGGCCAAATATTTGTATTTATTCTTTTTTTTTTTTTTTTATCAACTATTATTAAGTTATTTTTTCCCGTTCGATTTTCGTAGGCGGGCGGATAGCGGCCGGACGGATCGTGACAAAAACAATGTAATTTGTCACGCGTCGGTTAATAAACAAATGTTTATAAACAACATAATTATTTAAACTTAATACACGTGCCTGTTACCCCTCGGCCTACTGGTTCGAATATATAAAAATATACACGTCTGTGTGTGCACGCGCGATAAACGTAAGGGACGACGTTTCGATTTTTTTTTTTTTATCACCCGTTATAAACGACCCTACGACAAGAATCTGTCAAAACGATACGTGGACACGAGTACAATGTTTTCGAGTATTTATTTTTTATTCTTTCCGCTATTTATTAATAAATTATATATATATATATTTTTTTTTTAATGCACCGCTCGCGATAACAGGCCACAACAATTTTTAACAATAATATGTTTAGAATAAGCACGCGAGTAGTAAACAACCGCTTCTCGGGATTGAAGTGACGAAATCGGATTTTTTTGTGTACCGTGGTATTAAATGTTACATTTCGTTTTTCGTATCACCGAAGGAGGCTGACTGTAACGTTCATACAATCGCGAATATAAATATAACATATCACCACGTTTTCGTCGGAATAATACGACTTTTCGTTCGTTATCGACAGTGCGAGTGAAAATTCAAGGAAAGTAATATAGTAAGGGATTTTTCGTGTAAAAGGCATCATAAAAAAAAAACCATTTACTCGTGAAGATTTCAATAAGAATTTTAAACCTAATTGCAACACGATTTGCTGTAGATAAATGTTAAATATCTCTTATAATTATAACATAATATGTATACTAATAATATTAATATTGTATTGTAAATTTTTTACAAAATGGATACTTCTTAGAAACTTTAAAGACCAGATACCATGTTGTAATTATGTTAAAATCAATAAATATTTTTGTCAGAAAATTGATTAGCTAATTGAGAATAATAATTTGTATATTTTTAATTTCTCAAAGCAAATATTATTTAAAAATACATTTCAATTACACATGTACAAATTCTAGTGATTTGTAGAACCTCATGAATGTTTTGTTTAGTCTGGTATTTTAGCTATGATATGAAACAGCCATATTCGAAATTATAATCACTGTAACATTATAATATGTTAAGTTGATGTGTTGCTTGATATACCGCATAAATAATCACAAATAATAATTACATTTATTAACTTTTGATAAGTTTATGGTCTATTCGACTTTATTTTAAAATCTTTATTTTTCGTATTGAGACAAACAACTAAAATAAAATAAATTCTAAGTTTTCAAAATGTTTTAAATATAATATGTATTAAAATAAATAAATTAAATGTAATGTGTGTTGAATAATAATACTAAGTAAATGTTCAAAAAAATACTGAAATTTCATAAAATGTCTAACGAAATTATAATTAAATTCATTATATTCTTATCTAGACCTAATTATTTAAATAAGAAGACGCTAATTAGAAATTATTATTTCTTTTAAAAATATCTTTATCGAGTTACTTATTGGAATAAATGACGTATTAATAATTATTATGTAGATACGGTTTTCCATAAAAATTACTATTAAAATAAATCACATTTTTTACAATATATTACTTAGGTACATAATTTTTTAAATAGTATAGAGTATTGACTTACAATCTTGGTAAATACCTTGGTTTTCATTTATTAAAAACTATAATTTAAGTTTAATAGTTATAAACTAAAAAAAAATACAAAAAAAAATGAAACTAAAAAAGTTAACTATAAAACGGTTGCAGTTATGCATCGAGTATTAACGAAAATAAAAATTACCTTAAACAACTCATTTATGCTTCATACTTAACGCAATAAATACTTAATACCCACTAGATTAAGGGGATTGCAAGCCATGGTTTTCTTTCTATTTCTATCACACGCGCAATATAGGAATTTAGACGTTTTCTATTTTCAACGTACTGATCGATCAAGGCGATAAGGATTTTGAAAACTGATTTTGGAATTCGTCATAAATTTCGTAAATTCGTCTCTCATGTTTTAAATGTTGTACTTAACATTCCTAAATATTAATTTTTATGTTTCCAATTTGTTTAATCCTATTTAGTGAAATTTTGGGAGACAAAATCAAAAAGAAGACTTTACGACGAATTTCAATCAGTTATCAAAAACCTTCATCCTAATCGCATCAATAGATCGATCGGTACATTGGAAATAGAAAACGTTTAAATTAACCTATACTGCGCATGTGATAGAAGGAGAAAGAAAATCATATCTTGCAATCCCCTTAAGGCGGTATACTATTCCGAATCTTTCCAACTATTTCAAAATATATATTTTACATATTGATTTCAAATGATAAACATGGAAATTCTTATCGCTCAAATTGAATTCGGGATACGCTCACCCAGTGGCGTACACATAACTTTTGTATGGGGGGTTATTTGCAGAAAAATCATTACTTTAATTTTGTCATTATTTTTTGTTTTTTACGTTTCTAAGGCGTTCGCACTAAGTACATTGTTTCATAACATTTAAAAAAAAGCCTAGGAACGATCTGACCCCCACGAAACTTTTAAAAGTTTGGACAGTTCTATTATTCTGTGAAATATTGATCGTATTAATTATAGGTACTCACACTCTTTGTTCTTGTCCATAGACTTTTGTAATGGAGATTCATCCACCTCGGCTGAAGGCGGAGACGGTTGCGAAATACTATTCTGCATGGTCAACGGGTTGGTGTGCTGCTGTTGCTGCTGTTGCAGCTGCTGTTGATGCTGCTGCTGCTGCTGCTGCTGCTGCTGCTGCTGAAGCTGCTGCTGCTGAAGCTGCTGCTGCTGCTGTTGGCGGAACCACTCAGGGTATATAGACGAAATGGTGTCCACCAGGTCTTGGTCCAGCTGGATTTTCCAAAACAGCTCACCGCGGCCGCGATCTGATAAAAACAAAATCCAAAAATATTACCAACAAATCATATTCCAATAAAATCATGCGTAATTCATACGCAACATGATGGTACATACGTCATACATTAATATAAATAGTATACAACACAATAATATATTATTTATATCATTTATCGAGAACCGAAAAGAAGAAACGTCAATGCGAGCACGCGTAATTACGATACAACAACGGTGTAGGCTTATTTTCGTCCTCGCAATTTGGAGGAAGGTCAACGCTGAGACGCACACAATATGAACAAACGAGAGTAATCCACACGTAATGTTCAATGCACATAATACACTATATTATATACGAAAATAATTATAATAATATCGGAAACATAATATTATATATATATATATATATATTGTTCTATTGTGGTACGCACATAGGTATGTATAGCTCAGGTGGGCGACCGGCCGCCACAGCTACCCACGTGAATAACCGCCGAGCACATATCTCTCGCCTACTCCGTCCATTATACAGCCATTTGCTGTTGCACCGAAATACAGACGTTTGATGATTGAAGACGGTCTATGCGAGAGCGAATTTCCGGTGCCAAACCCGTTCCGAAAGCCTTATGATATACGTGCACATAAACACGATTAGGTGTACAACACCTATTTACTATTCATTAAAGTAACAATGTTTTGACTACCGTGATTACGGACAATAGCCGATTAACCATGCGATTTTCAAAGGTCACATGCGAATCGTAATTTTTTGCAAAATTACAACCGATGGTATATAAAAGCGTTCTGCCCTTACCTACATACCGAATACCTTAACAGTACAATATATTGGTTATGTTATATATTATAGACATAATATAAACCGAAAAAGCATATATGACGGTAAATTTCAACAAAGAACGAAAAACATTTCAGAAACCCTAAAGTCGGTACAAAGATTTCAATAGTAATTCCTTACATTGAGCGACTGACGGGTACGGGGGAAAAACGATAGTAGTCCTTTTTTTTCGATTTCGATTTTATGGCTTGATTCGACAGCAAATCAGGAGTACCAATGACTGTTAAAATTGATTTAGTCAAAAAATCTTTCAGTCCACAACTATCAAAGGAAAAAGATTAAGTATACTGGTGAAAAAAGATAAGATAAGACTTTGTTTTTGCTCCCCTGAACAATTTACATAAATGGACCACTACGATTAACTCCTCATACCCTTAATTTTTACTATTCAATACTTTCAGCACAACCTGTGGTATGAATATTCGGAATAAATAAGATTCCTTATAACATGTCAAATATTTAAATAATTAAATTATTTTGAAAATAATAAATGACAATTTTTCCATACAAAACTTAATAACTATGAATAGACATATATTGTTAAATGATCATATAATATCGATATTATATGATTTAAAATTTACAAGATAAAGAAAAATATATATTCTAGAAATCCCCCATCTGTCTCTCTTCGTGAAGGTTCATGTTTCATAACATTAAGTAATATGTAACGCCACTACACGCTGTTATAAGGTAATATACTCGACACAAGTAAATACGAATTGTGCAGAAAAAAAAAGTTTAAAACAAATAGCTCTTTTTATACGACGAATAATATAAATGAACGCAATACCCGCCCTTGTGTTACATAAAAATTACGTCACATGTGAGCAAAAACAAAACGATAGGTAATCTAAAATAATCTATACCTTCCGGAATCGAAAATATACGCGTTAATCCACCAACTGCTGTCTGTTACCCATCAATGAATCATACATAGAACGATTACAATATTATTTATAACTAATGAACGCATCTGTCGATTTGTCATAAACAAATAATGGCTATTGCGTGCTGTATTGTTACCCACTACATAAAATTTGTTCGTCGGAAAATTGTTTCGTACAACATATATAAACGCCAAATGAAATAAATATAATACAAAAACTATTCAAGTACGCGTGGACGTAATCCGTATACCATAAGTGCCATACTATAAGATAATAATAATAATACAACGATATAATATGAAACGATACGTTTGAATAATATTATTTTCAACAGTAAACATATCGTTTTCGGACTGAGGATCAAACATAGAAACCATTCAGATGTACTAGAAATAATTAAACATGATTCCGGAGGAGCACAATACGCGATGTATCTCATGATCGTACAGACAAAAATCACATTTTACACGGCTAATGTAACGGTCGATGAAAATGATAAAAATATGATAAAAACCTATGTTTTTCATATATTTTTTATAAGCATTAGACGAAAACCACGTATGAAAGTCGTACAAGCATACGTGCGTCGTACAGCAAAACAAGGACGGCAATAAAATACAACAATATGTAATACAATAATGTTTTATGCATCGAACGTACGGTTAAACGGCGGTTGATCGTCATCGTTGTCCCGTAGAACTTGTCATTTTTTTTTTCGTGCGAGGTAGGCCGGGCAATAAATTAACGTCGACCCATTCGCGAATAAAAAAAAAAAAAACCACCCGTTTATTGTTGTATTAATTATGTGTTAACATATTTTATCGTACACGTGTCATTCCTAATATTGAAACAAAATGGAATACGAATAAATTTTGAGATTCAATACCGTATACTATTCGTGTAATTCAAGGGTGTGCGCCTGTTTATATTATTAATTTTTACAACGATTAGAATTAAATACAAACACAAATTGTATAAGGTATAAACAAACGAATCAATAATATAATGTATATTATATTCACAATGCAATTTATACGATTATGTATACAAACACAATATTAAAAATTACTAAACCGAGACCACATATCACACCCTTATTGCAAGAGTGCCACAACTCAAATGTCGGTATTTTGAGTTTGTCTACCGGTTGATAGCGATTATTTTTCTCTACAAAAGCTATACCGACAAAAGATGTAGTACAACCAACGCATCGATAATATATTTGTATCAGTATCGAATTTATTATATTTTTGCAATAAAAGAAAAGTAATAATGTCACATTTTGATGCGCTGATTTTTTAAGTTGTGACACTATTGCACTATGGGTCCATAATAGCAAGTTTGTTTGTGAAAAAAAAATCAAAATACCAATAAACCAAAAACGATGAAAATCACTTTTACCAACTTCGAATTATAGTAAATATATATATATATATATGTGTGGATTGCATAAAAATTAGTCGGATGAAACGTGTGTCGACTGTGTATTCGGCAATAAAAAAAAAACGCCTACAACAGTTGCATAAATCAATATTTACAACCCGATCCGAGTACAGGACAAGAACAACAATCGTAAAAAAGAAAAGAAAAAATACGATCGAATTGTCTTTTTCTTTTTTGGGTGTTTGCGACATGCATAATATTAATGTTAGCGCCTAACCGTATGCACACCATCACAGTCCGCCCCTCAAAAAGTGGTGACCGTTTCGCGTTGGCGGCCCCGGCGACGACCCAACAGGTGTTGGACCAGATCGTCCCACGTCTGTAGTGACGCCGCCGCAACGCTACAGAAACCGTGCACAGCAGCAACAATACGTTGGACACCAGGAAACTCGCTTCCAACGACGGATTACATCCGCAACATAAGGGACGAAAACAAAAAATGTGAAACGCGAAGCTTATGGCTTGAATTATATACTTCACAAATGATAAACGAACGCAACCTGTACCGTTTACGCGGCGACAACGTACAGTAAATTTAGAATATGTACGCACAAGCGGTGTCAAACCGTTTTTTTTTTTTTTACAAAACACCTACAACTTTTATATATATATATATATGTATTATATAGATACTACATAATATAGTATACTGCGAGATAAATAGCCTTGTCCGGATGACAGACAACCAGACGTAGCCTTGGACGAGACGACGGTGAAAGCAGCTTCTCCGAACGCGAAAAAACAACACGCGCATACATATTTAATGTGTATATAAATGTATTGCATGTGCACACATTATACGCAACAGGTACGCACGACACGAGCAACACGCATCGCGGACACCTGTTCGCCGTAAACCGGGAAAAGGGACCATAAGGGTGTGGATTTCCGGGTGGTCCGTCCGAAAGGACGATTTCCCAGGTGAAACAAGAGCCGGTAGAGGGAATCGAGGGGCGTACAGCGTATAGGAGCGCCGTACAACGTCTCAACCCGGCACGAAACCCTTTGCCCGTGTGCGTGCGTGCGTACGTTACGTTACCGTTACAACGTTATTGATTCGAGATTTCGATTACTTTTCGACTGCCCGAAGCATGCATGGCGGCGGTGGCGGTGGCGAAGCCGGAGGCTAAGAAGTCGCGATCGATCACTGCGGCAGTGCGATTTCCGTGTGCCGGTCAGCTTGGCGGGACGGCGGGAAAGTGCACGGGACGGAAGACTCGCACGAGGCGGCACGGTTGCAGCGTTTGGTGCACCGGATACGAGGACGCGACACGGGAACACACGGCGGCAGCGACGCGACACGGGAACACTCGGCGGCGGCGGCGCGAAGACGGTAGGAGAACACGCGACGACCGGTTGGCGTGCGCTTCGATTTGCGTGTGCAAGTTCACGGTGCGAGGCGCGTGCAAAACTGTGGGCGAATCCCACTCCGATCGCGCGGCGTGCTCAGCGCACATGATGAGGACAACCGCGATAGAGACCGACCCGTTGCCGCGGGCGCGCGCACCGGTACGGCGTCCTCGGGAAGAACACGTTAAGCGGGGGAGGGGGGGGGGGGGGGGGGGGGTGATCGCCGACCGCGGAAAGGACGGGCGAACGAAACGTTCAAATGCACCCCGGCCCGACGCGTGCACCAAATACCATACGGTTGCGGCAGGGATGGTACGGTCAACCACCGGGGACGGTACGACGCCGCCGAGTCGAGGAGTACACTGCAACAAACGCTCGCGGCGTAACGAGAACAACGTCTCTTGACGAGAGTTACACGCGAGCTGCGAAGACAAAAAGGTCGAACGAGAAATTACCGCGCACAATTCGAAAGAAAGTTTCGCCATCCGAAGGACAACGGTATACTTTTAGCATGTGCACATACACACACATACACACACACCTTTGAGTGTATAAATCGCATTAACCCAGTTTATACGGGACAGGAGCGGTGACACGAATACATACTACATATTATACGGTAAGTACACACGTAATATTAATAAAAATAATTCATCACGTATTCGTGTGCGTGTGTGTAATTATGGCGGATGAAAAATATTACCCTGGAGTATTTCGATGGCTCGCCGCCCGCTAGCGATGACGACGGGGCTCATTGCACGGTTTGTGTACCGCCATCAGCGACCACAGCGCGTTTCACGGTCAACGGTAATGAATTTCGCGCGGTATGTGTTTCTGTGCGAATGCGTAAGTAAATGTTTGACGTACGCGCTTATAGTTATATCAAAAAAGTGTGCTGAGTAAACATTTTATACATCCACTTCAAAAGAAGAGTGCACCAAAACTGCTAGACCGAAAAAAAAAAATATTAAAAAACAAAAAAACAAAAAAAAAACGCCCGTCCGAGCCAATATTTTGCCGTTTATTTGGTGCAAAACAAACGGGTAAAGGCCAAACGATGAGTTTTTTTATCATTAGGTAAGGTTTTTTTATTTTTTTTATTATTTTTTTTTTTTTTTTTAAGCCACAAGGACGCCGCATATTGTACCGTTTTAACAGTGTTGTGTCGTCGGCGTTATTATTATCATGCGTATTTATCGGTAGACGACGGCGGCGGCGGCGGCCATCGGGTGTTGTAACCATACGCACATGGCCCCGTCAACGAGACGACTATCGGGCCCTAGGTCCGGTCCAAGGTATCCGCGGCCACCGGTGTACGTGGACACCGAGGGCGTTTCGAGGATATGACCAACCGGGTGGACGGGCGACTGGCCGGAGTCGCGCCATATGGTCCGGCCACCCGGCCGGATGACGTCATAACTATTACGAGGACGGGCCGCGTGCTTAGAATGTGTGTACACACACACGCACACACACACCGTAAGCTGCTGTCGTCGCCGTGTTGTACTGCGACGACGCTAACGAGCGGTTCGGATTTTCGAATAGAAATAATAATAATAATAATACAACACGATCGCAAGATTACCAAAATGAGCCGTTGAATGAACAAGGTTTCTCGAGAAAAAAAAAACACTGCGGACACTTGTCACTAATGGGTTCCATTGAAACTCAAATGTTAAGGACTTTGTTGGGCACACGAAAATATTTGTTAGGCGCACAACAAAACGGTTTCGATTGTTTGGTACTTTATACTCGCACGATATGCAACACGGATATAACACAGAAAATCAAAATTATAATCGAAAATATCACGAAACGACGATAATTCGTTAAAAATAATGTATTTATACGAAAACAAAAAACGAAAAAAGAAGTCTTTAAAGTATTTTTAGTAAACTTTCCAATATGAAAAAAGTTGCTGAATGCAAACTTCAAATTAATCATCCGAAATTTCTATTCGAAAAAAAAATTGCTCTAAAAAAACCATCGGTCATTTCTTTAAATGATAGGAATCTAAAATGAATTTGTAACGGTAAAATCTCTCAGACATCCCCTTAGTCGAACACGTTACCAAATGCGTAGATAAACGCGTGGTTCGCAATGTTTCACATCAAGTGATCCATATGCATGTGTGTAACGATCAAAGAAAACAGTAAACAAATTCGTAAAACACTGTTTCTGTTTTTTCTCAATCAATCGTTCGTTTTATGGTGTTTTTTAACGGGTAAAATGTAGAAACCTCGGTACACGTAGAGTGAATTGAGATATAAAATTAGCCATATTAGTCCCACGTATAAATATTATATTAATCACGAGTGTACATTTTGGTGTATTGTTTTAAAGTATCAACAAAATTAATTGCTCATTGTTACGTAAATTAATTGAAATGCGACTCTTCTATTATATACAATACACAATAATAACAACGAATTCCATATGTATGCGAGTGTGCATACAAAGCGCACTAAAAAGTCCTAAACGTACTAGTCGAGTAAACAACACGGAATACAATAAGGATTGTGAAGTGTTGTTCACTACTGTATTACACTCTATTAAAAACCGAAAATAGTAAATTTACACATGTATTTCTGTGTGCGACTACAAATTATTCGTCGTAAAACTCGACTGTACAATAAATTATGCGATGCGTTGAACATCATGAAAACCAATTGACCACTGATATCTATAAGAAAAATATTACAGATGGTAAATTAATTTTGTTGTCATGAGAAAAAAAAGCATTTAGTGCGTGTAACAATAGTCGACTTTCACCGTTAACGTTTTAGATGGAAAAAACGACTATCCCATTACTAGGTCAATGAGGTTCCTATATCTGGCATTATTTAATAACAACATTTAAAGTATCATATATATATATACAAAATAAAGATAAATATACAGTGTTGAAATACGTTCAAAACGATGTCCAGGGAAAATATGCTCGTATTTACACAGGTATTCGTGCATAATAATTTATCTCTTGTCTCAATTTGAGCAATGTATATACGTCATGTCCGTGTTACTTTAATCGTGGGCACTGTAACTACTAAGCAGTTGTCCCTACATCTACATTAATATCGTAAACGGCGTTCGAAAACCGTATTGTAATACGAACGGCAATCAGCACGTTTACAAGTGCTTACCAAAGTGTTTTCATCGTGCGCGAAAACACATTAATTAAATATTAAATCTAGCCTAGAGAAAAAAAAAACGAGAAAAAAATTAAAAAATAAAAACAGAAATCTTGTGCCAACGGTAACACCGATTAATAACTTTTATTTCGGCGTCTCATCATGTTCGCGCGGTTCATCATCAACCATAACTCGTATAAAACGTGGCACGACGTCCAAAAACATATTGTCGGACGAGTTGGTATATATTATACTGTTATTATTTGCGTTATCCGTTTATGATTATGATTATTTTCCAAGACAAACAGAACTTTCAAAATGTAAACAGAACGTGCCATCGCCGTTAGACAGGCGACTCGTGCGACGTATCCGCGAGGAAATGCCTCCAAATAGCCCCCCCCCCCCCCGAGCACTATATTTGTTTAATATTAAATCGTTATACAGTCGTATACGCGCAGACGACAAGACGGAAAATGTTTGCGCGTGTTATTCTCCTCTCCCGTCATAATAATGTGAAAGTTTAAGACATTTATCGGCCGGCAACGATACACACGTAATAAACGTTTTATTACGATAAATCAATGCCACGACGAAGACGGCGGCGTCGACGATGACGACGTTGCCGCATTTTGTTTACTTAACATATTTATACGGCTGCTGCTTCTAGCGCAAACGTGTCGAAGCGCGCGTTCATTGCATACGTGCATTATCCTTCGTACGACTGCACTTGGCGGTGGTTCGTTTTTCAGAATGGATTGTTAAACGCTTCCAAGGGAGTCCGAGCGCGCACCGCGTGATTATCCGTGACACGTAACCTTTCCGGCTGATAGGAAAACCGAACAGGATTCTAGATGTTTGCCGACAGATTAAAACGTACACCACAATAGGATCTCTTTCTCTCCGGTCCCGCGGCCGGTTTATTGTTGTTATTATTATTACTATTTTTTTTTTTTTTTTTTTTTTTTTTTTTTATATATATATTCTTCTTATAGCTTTTCTGCAAATCGTTTCTGTCGACGGCAATCGGTTGTATTGGCGACAACGATAAATTAATCAACCGACAGCAGCGGCGGTGGCGGCACGAACGTTTGCCAACTACCATTTGATTAATTTGCGTTTTACAATCTAATCAATCATACAATTATGCATCGTAATAATACAATATGACGTACATATTTCGTATTGGAAAGTCAAATCGATCGCGTTCGGTGACGATAAGAGATTTTACGACGGCATAACGGCTTCCATACGGCGATTTTAAGAGTCAAGAAACAATTTCGCGGTTTTAAACTGCAGCAGTGGCGACGACGCGTGTGTTAAGATTTACACGGCTAATAAAAAGCTAGAAGATGTTATTTTTATCCTCGCGCACTAGCGCCGCGAGACCGCCGATTCGGATAGTTTTTTTTTTTTTTTTACACAGATTTTCAGCGTTGATCAACACGTTTTGCAAAGTTACAAATGTTTTTTATTTTCTTTCATTACATTTTCTATTTGTTTATCAATTGTTGAAGCTATTCCCATTTACATTCTTGTTTTATGCGTTATTGCAATTCTTGTTAACTATTTGCAGCATATAAACATTATCGTACGGCGTATCCACCCATTATTATATATTATATAGTATAATTGCATTCGACTAGATATTGAAATAACACTCAAGTTTTAAATTTAACACAAACAAACTAAACTTTTATACATTTCCAAACGAGATATCGTGTACGATAAACTTGAAAAAACAATATTTTTTCGGCAAATTGAAAATGTATAATTAGCAAAAACATCCGTTTCACGAACAATAGCTACAATTTAACGATCGTTAATCGTTTTTGCGAACACTACAGTCGACCGAAATCGAGGTATACGAAAAATTACGAAAAATAAACCTGTCCTAACAGCGGAAGTCGCGGAGTGCGGC